AGGGGTGGGCCCCACGTGGTGTGGTATGGTGTGAATGATTGTTTCAATGTTGAATGACAAATTTGTCCTTATTTAGTGGTCCATTGTTTACATTTGACCAAATATTGAACACTTATTTACAAAATTACCACTCATGTTTGACTATTATATTTAATATTTGACTTGATCAAGACCATTGATATGTTGAATCCAATGATCCACATTCATTCTTATTTCTTTCACTAAGAATCATTCTCATATGATCCCTTACCTATATATATATATATATATATATATATTTGTACTTATGTAATAGAAACATTATTTTTATTTTTATTTTTATATGATATAAGTTAAAATAATAATATGAGTTGACATATACGAGTGTTTAATTATGATTAAAAATTTTAATTTGACAATTTAATTAAAACTCAAAGTAATGTTTTATATAAAATTAAATTATTCCAGATTTACAAAAAATTAAATAAAAACATTATTTTCTTATATAGGTTTCCTAATTCAACATCCGTGTAATACACGAGTATTGTATTAGTATTATATTATAAATATACGGTTTTGCTATGGAGCCAACAGTTGGCTCCGGAGTGGAACTACTTTTTTATAACAATAAATAAATCTATCATATTCTATGATTATTTAATGACATTAATATAATTTTGTTAATATAGTATGTTTATTTATTGTATATAGAATGAGCCAACTGTTAGCTTCATAGCAAATCCGTATAAATATAATACCAAAGTTTAATACAAAATTTAATTGAATAAGGTTGCAAATACATAATTGTGACGCCACCTGCACCCGTCTTCCCGGAGCTCGTTCTACTCGGAATCCATAAACCGCCTCAGCCGTAGACCTCCCATTGCGACGCTATCTCATCCGATCAGTTGTGCTAATCGGAAGTTGCTTGCATCTGTAAAATTCAATTCATGTGCTAAATTTCAAAATCAAACCCTTTAGCCGCTTACTGGTGAGTTTCGAACTCTCGAACGAAGATTTAAATAAAGCTCTTTCAATTGATTCTCGAACCTTTTATGATATGAAGAGTTGGATAAAGTTCTTTCAATTGATTCACGAACCTTTTATGATATGATTTGATAAGACAATATGGTTACGAGAGGCCGTTTTTTAGATGATTTTTTTTTTTTTTTTTT